GAGGAACCCCTTGCCACTGGCTGGTGCCTTCAGGGAGCTGCTCCCTTTAACTCCAAGAGTCAGGGAGAGAAATCCTATGAGATTTGGGAGGAAATGCAGAAGCACAGTACACTGAGAGCAGGGGAAGTTTCTCTCTGTTGAGGAGTCCTGGGGACATTGGTCCTGGGGCAGGGGTGCAGCTGGGGGCTGTGGGCACTGTCCCTGCAGGTCAGCGGGCTGCTGGGTTGAGGGGCGTCTGTGACGATGTCCCTCTCCTCTGCCTGTCCCCCGTGCAGGCTGGGGCGGTGCCGGCTGACGGAGGCGAGCTGCAGGGCTCTTGCTGGAGTGCTCCCTGTCAGCCCCAACCTGATGGAGCTGCACCTGGGGGACAACGATCTGGGGGATGGCGGCGTGCGGCAACTGAGCCAGGGCCTGCAGGATCCCGCTTGCAAGCTGCAGACACTGAGGTGAAGGGCTCCGGGGGCTGAGAGATGCTCTCAGCAGGGACTACCTGTTGCTTGTCCCCATGAATGTCCTTATGGCCAGTCACTGTCCCTCTGTGGGGCAGTTTGGGCATCTCTGGGGAGGTGTCAAGGGCTTAGATAGGCAAGGTGCTGATAGTTTAAGAATACAAAACCATTCATTAGCTAGATGAGACTATTTCTTCTCATACAGGTGAGGTAACCGGGATTTAAAGCTCTCCCAAGCGCAACACCAGCACGCTCACTGCCCCAGCTGTGCTCATTCCATCCACCAGCACATTTCAGTGCACAGAGAGAGACATTTGCTCCTGGAAGGGCATCCCAATAGTATTTTGTGGTTGTGAGAATCAGTCAGAGGGTTCTCCAGTCATGAGGAAGTCCAGTCCTGCCCCCCTGCAGGAACATTGCCCATCCTAGGGAGATGATATCCAGCTCAGACACCTTGCAAGAAGCCTGGAGCAAGGCTTTGGTGTGAGTCCCCTCTGGAAGCTGTTCCCAGGCATCCAGAGGACGTGGGGCAGTGGGTAGGCAGCTCAGGCGTGGTTTCTCCCTATGAAGGACCACTCATGAAATGTCCCTCCCTGTCCTTTCTCCCAATGCCCCCCTGGCAGCCTGTGGCAGTGCCGGCTCACTGGCGCCTGCTGCAAGGACCTCTGCGCCACGCTGTGCACCAGCCGGAGCTTGGAGCATCTGGACCTGAGTGAGAACAACCTGGGCGATGGCGCCGTGCAGCTGCTGTGCGAGACCCTGGGGCATCCCGCCTGTGTCTTGCGGCAGCTCTGGTAAGGGACCTTCGACTCCTCTGGCCACAGAGCTGCTCCCCGTGGGGACTGGGACCAAGCGTCTTGGGACAGCGCGGTGCTGGGCAGCTCGATCTGGAGAGCATCGTGCCAGCAGCCAGAGCCGGTGCTGCCTCCTGCCAGGAAGCAGCAGCTGCCCTGCCATCCCCTGCAGCTCTGCCAGCTGCTCACAGCTGGAAGGGGTGTGATCAGACCCCCTTTCTTCCTAAATGCCTTGGGACACGCTGCTGAGGCACAAAGCTGGGGGAATACACTTCGTAAGCCTCAAAGCAGGCAGCAGAGATGGTTGCTTCATGTGATGGCACTTTTCTCACCCCAAGGTCGGCCTTGCTGGTGCCAACTCCTTGTGCTGGGTGGTGGGCAGAGGCAAGGCAGGGGTTGGCATGACCTTCTTTCTGGCTATGCGATGGCATGGCTAACAGTCAATAGCTTGGGTGGATTCAACCTATTTCCTTCTGCTCTTCAAAGGCTGGAGAATTCCGGATTAAACGAAGAGACATCACAGAAGCTGGATGCTTTGAAAGAAGTAAAACCCAGCCTGAATATAGGATACATTTGTCAAAAAAAACCCACTCCCAAGCCAAGCTGAGCCTCCTCCAAGGTCCTGGGTGCGTGGGAAGGACCAGAGACAAGATCCTAGGAGAAGGGATGAGGCAATGGGTGAATCTGGACCTTCAGTGCTTGGTCCCTGGTGTTCGGAGTGCCCAAACCAGACTGTAGCTGCAGCGATTTTTCTTGACTACTCCTGGTTCATTTACTGTTTCTCTATTTGTTTGATCCCCCAGTTTCCAAGGTCTCCTCCTCCTCCTTTTTTTGGCCATGTTATTGTGAAGAATGCTTGTGTTATGCATATGTTAAATAAAGATCCCTCCCAGAAATATCACCACACTGTGACCTTTCCGTTGACTCCTGTATCAGCAGCAATGGCCCAGGACACTCCCAGGGTCCAGGCAGCCAGAAAGGAGAGGAATGGTTACACCTCTGCTTCTGACGGGTGGTCAAAGCCATCGGTCACTAACAGGAGCTCCTCCAGCATCTTCAGCACATTGGCACAGCTCTTGGTTTGCAGCCTGAAATGGTCCCTGCTCCCTGCAGCATCCTTCTGGCCCCTGGCACAGGCTCTTGCAGCCCCCAGCCAGGCAGATCGGCTGCGGTGATGTCTGGGGCAGGACCTCCAGCCTCTCAAAAGAAAAAATGGTTTACTGTATCTGGAAACGGGGCTGAGGGTGGTGCCGGTGGCCATATATCTTCCTGTGCCTGGGAGCAACGGGGATGGCAGTGGATAGCGTGGGCTCACCCTGAGTCCTCTCCTGGCCCCCATTGCCGAGCATGCCTGTGGGTCTTTCCAGCCACCGGCTTTTGCCGGAGCACTGGGGTTGACCGGTGGTTGGTGGAGGGCTGGGGCTGCAGCGAGGGATGGGGTGGTCCAGTTTCAGGCTGCCGGTGAGGCCCCATCCCTGTGCTGGGG